TTATATATAATATATAAATATATTATGTAAATATATATTTACATTTATGTTTTATGTTAATGTGGATATTATGGCCTTTCAATTGTATAACTGAGGCCTGCTTATATTAAGATACAATCAGAAGAGGCATTCAAATGCCTGATAACAGAAAATGACTGTTTTTCTCTGTATATATTTGAGTCCTACCTACACTTGCAAGATCCACCCAAATTCAACCTTCTTTTCCTATCAATCCTACAGCATTTAGAATCTATACCTAAACTGTATATTCTGGAACATATATATATATATGTATGTATGTGTATATGCATATATAGTCTTAAGGTTACTCAAGTGCTTTGTGCCTGCTACTCTTATCATCTTCAATGAATTGAATATAAGTTCCATGAGAGCGAACTATGTATCCCCATGACATTAAAGCAGTGCTAGGATTCCAGATCTTACTCTGCAGAACAGCCTAAACTGGTGTTCATTAAATAACTTTTCTTGATTTTTGGAAAAAGTTGAAAAAAGGGGGCCAAGATGGCAAAAAAGTATCGCAGGGGCACTTTTAAAAAATTTATTTTAATGTAGAACAGGCAGTCCTTTAGTCAAGAAAAATAACGTGGAGTAGTATGTAAATGTTTTAGCAGGTGCCCCAGCTTTATAGCTCTCAAAGTGCTAGGCACAGATTGTCTTCAGGTCCTTTCTTTGCATCTAGGCAGGCTTTACCAGTAAGCTCCAGTGACCTCCAGGATTCCATGAGGCAGCTCTAAGGTGTGACTGATAGATGGGATGGCGTGGTAACTACGTTAAATTTGTGGCTGCTTCTGTCCAGGTATCAACTTTGGGCTCCATGTACAAATGAAAAGCCTTCCTATTAATCAAGGACAGGTTTTCCATCTCTGAAGAACATGTTGATGTCCTGAGGGATGACATTCAGGCGCTTGTATGCAAGTCTGCCCCTAGTCCCAGGATGCCTGGCTAGCTTCTAACTTACTGTTCATTTAAATTTGCTAATAATTCTCAGGAAAAGGGATGGCACGAATTCACTCCATAACTCATCTCCTGATGATTGGTTCTTTTGACTCTACTAGAATTCCCAACGTAGTCATTAAACCTCAGATAAGTGTTGAAAATGGTGGTATCATTTTAAATACCCTAGTTCTAGTAAAACAGGCCTGGAAAGCAGTATTTTCATAAACAAATTTAAATAATGAATCTCAAGTATTAGTACTCTTAACATGCCATCCATCTTCTCAGCTTCCTAATCTCTCTGCATTTCCTAAATTCGACTTGACCCGCCCACCACTAAATCTTTGGTAATAGCTATTGGTTGGTGAAACGTTGGGGAACTCAGGTATTCAAACCCTAGTTCAATGGCGTTAACACCTCTCAAGATGTACTGAGGAGTAAATGAAATAATACAAGTCAAACTCTTCCCACAGTACGAAGCTCACAGTATGTGCACAATAAACTCTTAAGATTAAAAAAAAAACCACAACAAACTTTTGTTGTGTTTTTTAAAAAGTGGAGGAGACAAGTTCCCATCCAATTCTTAGTAATGGCGGGTAAGAAGGCAAAAGCTTCTGTATTTTTATAAAATAATGCATTCACTGACACAAATCAGGCCACAGTCTTTAACTGATAAAGCAGGATATTATTTGTAATTTTGCCTCAAATTTAAGACACACTGGTTTACACTCCTGGCAGGCAGTGGGAGGGTGCAAAACATTTTCTTAGGTTACAGCCGCCACACACCGGTTTTCTCTGGGTGAAGGAAAGCCTTCCCTTCCCTCCCCGGGACAATGACCAGTCGCGGCCAGACCCCAAGGGAAACATGCAGCGCGGTGCTAGATACTTCGTGTCCCGGGCCCGCGCGGAAGGGGACATAATAGTCCTCAAGGAGCTGAAGCTGGGACGAAAATGTCCCCAGTTCCCCGTGAGTATCGAGGGGCGCGGGAGCACGCGCACCCCGCCTTTCCCGACTGAGTGTGGGCTTGGGTCGCCGGAGTGGACCCGGTGGCCCCATTCCTCGGCAAACCACAGTGGGCGCCACCGGCACTGTCCCGTCCTGCGCGTGGCTAACTGCGCCGCTCCCGCCGCGAACTGCCGGCAGGTCCCGGGCGCCCGGCCCCGCCTGCGCCGTCCCCAGCCCTGATTGACACGGGAGTTGGTACATACGGGTCTACAGCGGAGGCGAGCAGGGGGGTGAGTGCTATTTTAAACATGGCTTTCCCTTCCCTTGGCCTCAGAGCCAACGCGGCGCGCCCAGCCGTGGGCTAGGCCCACCTGGGAATAACCCCAACATCTGCCCGACTTATTATTATTTTTTTTTTTCGATCTCCCTATGCATGGACTTGTTCCCCCCCCCTCCGCCCCCTATCACTGCTTTCCCACCACACTAATCACAACCCGGCAGTTTTAAAGAGGAAACTCCCCTCCTGGAAGGGCGAATGGAAAGCTCTTTTGCTTCTTGTTGTTCGAGGTGGAAACCATTCCAGCTAGTATGAGTTCAAAAAGAAGGGAAGCCGCGTCGCTGGAGAGAAAGTAACAGTCAGAAACCGATGAGGACGCAGGGAGGGAGAGAGGGAAGGAGGAATGTCCGCAACAGGCATCTGAAAACAAGCGTGGAGAAGCAAAGAGATTCGAAAACCCCGAGTTACTACCAAGCGCATTCCGCGCAATCCACCGCAATGACAAGATCTGCTGTAAGCACAATTTGAAGGCCTTTGAATCTTTTTTGGTAAGACTTACCTTTCTCTTCGGCATAATGACTACGTTCGTGCAGCTAAAAAGTAAAGCAACGGGCTGGAACTGCAGACACCGCCGCTGGATGCCGCCGCTGCAGCTGCTCACGCGCAGGGCACGGCGTAGCCCGGCCTCTCCGACCTGCACCTCCGCGGCTCCCTCCAGGGGCCCTCTACTCGCTCGCCTCCCCGCTCCTCCAATGAGGAGCCCCGGCAGCCGGCCGCGAGGCCCCATTGGCTGCGGCAACATTCTAAATTCCACGAGGGCACGCCCACCTCAGCGCACACGGTAAGCGCTGTTGTAGTTTCCACTTCACCGAAAAAAAAAAAAAAAAAAATCTGCCTGGTGACTGAGCATGCCCAGTTCAACTAGTAACCCCCAAGCCACACGGTCCTGGAGTTTGATCGTTTTGCTGCTCCCTGTTTGGATCCTGTCAGTAGGAACAGTGTGGGCCTTTATCATCAGGAACAAGAGTAAGGCTGGACACATTAACTATATAGTGTAAGTATATGCACAGCAGGCACTTGGTACGTTTCCTACCCCGTAAAGGCTTGTAATGAATGTTAGGTGATGGAGACCTGTAAGAGTGAGAAGATACCCTGTTCTGGGAGAGTGTGGCAATTTCTAAGGGTCTCAGTTTCCCTTTCTAGATATCTAATGACAATAAAAAGTTACTTAGCTTTCGTTTCCTAAAAATCTGTGATTACAAATCACTCACTAATTCAGCCAACTTCAAACTAGGCTTGAAGATGAATAGAATATGTTTGTTATGGAAATTAGAAAAAGAATGAACAAGTCAGAACAGATTATATTTGAAACATATATTTAAATAAATATATTTAAAATAGACATAATTTAATGTTTCTCAAAGTTCTGCAAGGCATTAAACTGACATTGCAGAGACACTTCTGAATTTATTTTATGAGATCAGTTTTACCCTGATAACAAAACCAGTGTAAGATCTCAAAAGAAAAGAGAGCTATGGACCAATATCCTTTATAAACATAGACACAAAAATCTTGAACAAAATTTTAGTAAATCACACCCAACAACATTTAAAAGGATAAGACATCATGACCAGTGAGGTTTATCCTAGGAATTCAAAGTTGGTTTAACATCTAAAAACCAACCGATGTAATTCACTATATTAATAGAATAAAGTAAAAAACAAATATGATCATTTCAGCAGATACAGGAAAAGCACTAGCGAATGGGTGAGCAAACTGTGGTAACCATATGCAGTAGAATAATACTCAGCAATAAAAAGGAACAAAATATCCTTACATAAACGAATGCCAAAAACAAGATGCCACATGAAAGAAGTCAGATACAAAAGACCATACTGAATAATTTCATTCTTAAGAAATCATAGGAAAAGCAAAATTAGGCAAGCTTAGTTTCATAATCATATTAGAAGGCAAAAGTTCACATCATAGGAAAATATATTGAAGTCTTACATCACAAACATGGCCAAGTCCACTTTGGTCATGCAGAGGCTGCAAATATGCATTAAATGTCATCAAGTAGTTAATTTTACACTTGATCTTAGCCAAAAGGCCGAGAAGCGATCAAGTAGTTAATTTTAATGCGTGGCTTTTTTCTTTATTAAGTTTCAAAATAATGAATTGACATCCCAGCAAACTCCAGAAGTGGTCAATGACTTTCTTTTTGTAATATCTTTAGGAACTCATGGATTTTTATATATTTGATATGCTTCATCCTATTGCCATTATTACTATTTTTTAATGCTCATATTGCCCCAATAGGGGATCTTTTTCAAATTGGTTCTTTTGACAGATTTGTCTTTGGTAGATTTCTTGCTTTCGGGCATTCAGTGGATCACAATATGCTCAAAATAACTCGGATAAAACCAGTTCTTTGCTTGAGAATCGGATAAAAACTTTGAGGTTAATAATTTTACCATAAAAATAATATTTATAATGGAGTTGTCTTGGAAAAGAGTTCATTTGCAGAATGCTTGGTGGTTAAAAAAAAAAAAAGCCAGTGAAGACATTTTTAATAAGATATGTGTGGGAAGGATGCTGGGTAGCATTTGTAATCTGGGTCGAAAATTTTTTCTTTATGGAGATCAAAATGTTTCACAACAAAGGTAGTCTAGGGTGAATTTTTCCCTCTGTGAGGAAAAGCGGCTCACAATTTGGCTTCTTTAGTTTATATTTTTCAAGGCTAAGCAATCAACAGCAAACAAAATTGTGAATGTTTTTACTGCACATAATAAAATAGTTGCAATGAAAATGAAATTTGCTAGTTGGATAAAGAAAGTTGATTGTGGGAACCTTGGGTCATTTGAGCCTCTTAGTTCATTTACAAGTGACGAAAATAACAGATTAGTTTTGAAATGAATAACAGCATCGATCCTCTTTCCTTTGAAGTGGATTGCACCTGCCTGAGCAGAACACTCTGGAATGGAGGGTTCTCCCTATAGCTTCAGTAGCTTTAAGGTCTGAGAAAATAAGCACAGACCTGTGGAGGAAAGAGTAGGCAAAGAGAATAATTTAGTGGGTAGGTAGAATTCCAGGTTAGGAGATAAAGACAACTGAGCAGAAATGAGCATGCCTCATGCAAGACAGTGAGGAGGCAAGGTCAACCTGGTAAGAAGTAAAGACTCATGTGTTTATCAGTATATTCTGCTGAGTGTTTCACTTGCTTCGGAACATCAACCTCTAATCCAGTATAAAGTCTTCTCTACAAGATGTGGAGACTATCTTAGCCAAGATGGACAGTGGACAAATGAAGGGAGTTACTGCCTGAGGAAGAAAGAAAGAAAAATTAGTGAACAAACTTCTTTTCCAATTCCAATTCCTCTCCCCTTCTTTCCTAGTCAAAACAGTTGGAATCTTATACCTACCTCAGCATTTTTCAAAACAGCAGGGCAAACCCATTGGTGGTATCATGACTATCATTGAGGAAGAGAGCGGGAGAAAGGAGAAGAAAAGAAAGCGCAGAGCATGGAAAATATCAGGGTGCATTTCACATGGTAAAGGTAAGTAGTGTTTTCTAAAATGTTTCTATTTTTCATACATTTCCACATAAACACACACCACACATGTACGTATATAGTTGTGCATGTATGGGCGCGTGTGCGTGGAGGCGTGTGTGAGTGTTCTAGGTTGAGACTTGAAATGTATTTTTAGGATAGGTATTGGTGTATTTAGGATAGGTAGTACTGTGAAGTAAAGCTACTTCGCAGCCCTAATGAATCTTATGGATCTTTGGGGTTCCAGCAATTTTTTCCTCTGAAGAAGGGTGCTTAATCTTCAAATCTTGAAAGGAAGTTTTGAAGGGAAATTATCATCTCCCTCTTGATCTGTTCATTCTTCCCTCTTTCAGGCAGGCACAGGCAGGGTTTTGCTTTAATTAATGGCAAATTGCTGGAGAATTAATATCTAGAATCTATGGTTGCTTCTGATAACTCTGTAATTCTGGAATAAACTGTTCTTCAGCAAATTGGCCAAAGATTTCCAGAGGTGAATGATTTCAGGAATATAACAAAACATCAAAAACAACTGACAAGAGGTGGCAAAGGAATATTTTATTTTGTTTGTATTTTTATTAGTCAAATCTCTGGTTTGCTGAACGCTAACTTTTGCAGAGACCATGTTATGGTTTTTACAAAGTAACCAGGTCTAAGAGCCAGCAACCTCAGATCACAGGAGCTGCCTGATGCAGGTACCCAGACCCTAAGCCCAAGCTATTGAATCAGAATTTTTAATGACTAGACCTGGGAGTCTGGACTTCAAACAAGTTTCTCCTATGATTCTTTTATGTGTGTAAGTATGTATGTATTTATGAGAGAGAGTGTGCACACACAAGTTGGGGGGGGCAGAGGGAGAGGGAGAGAGAATCTCAAGCGGACTCTGCGCTGGGTGCAGAGCCTGATTTGGGCCTTGATCTCCCGACCCTGAGATCGTGACCTGAGCAGAAACCAAGAGTCAGACAGTTAACTGACTGCGCCACCAAGGCACCCCTCTCCTACGATGCTTATACTAGAATTTGAGAATTTTAGGCTAGGCCTTAGTTCTCAACAACCATTTGCCGAATGCCAGTACTTAAATTCGAATGCTGTAAAAGCCTGCTGCCTACTCAACACACTTCCAAAGAAGGAGCATCATTCTGTGGGTGAAATTTCCCTACCATGGACCTCCTCTTGTGCAAGCACAAGTCCTCCATCTCTCCTCGGTTCCAGTCTTGCTTGGCACTACATGCTTACTCTGCATTCTTCTCCCTCCTCTTCTCTACTTGTAAAGAGCATGGAGGGTCATTAAAAACTGTACACTTTGAGATCTCTAGAATACCACCTCCTCCCATCTTCGCTGGCAGTGCTCTGGGCAGCTCCTTGAGCCCCTGACAAGATTAAATTCCTGGGCCCCACGTCCTCAAAGGGAACCTAACCTGCTCAAAGTTCCACAAACCACACCCTTTCAGTGTATTATTTCAGTGATTGTACAAGCACACCTTGTAATTGCATTAACAGCAAGGGGGCCAGGACATTCTGTGATCTAACAGGAACCAACTTGTTGTTTTTCCCAACTTTTAATCAAATTTAATCTGTGTGCAGATTCTTTACCCTATGTATGTTTTACACAGTTTTCCCACCCCCAGTCCTTTTCAGGTTCAGTCTCTGTGTTATTTACCTCTCCTTCTTCTTATTGCTGCTGCTTAAACTCATCGGAGTGTAATTAATTTGCTCTTTGTGGCTCCCAAATGACTCTTTGGGGATGAATTAGCCATGCTCTGTAGCAAGAACCAGGGATTGGGCTACATTTGTCCAGCCATCCCTCTCTGCCAGATTGGTAGCGTGTCTGGTGCCAAGAGCCAGCCGTGTACAAGGAGGTGAAAGTTCAGGGAAGGGACTCCTGAGGTTTCATGGTGAGGACGCAGCAAAGTAAAGACACCACTCATCCCCTTAGGGGAAAACCCACAAGCTGCAAAGTGCCAGAAACTCGTTAGGGGTTGTTGCAGATCTCTCAGACGGAGTTACACATTCTTGTAGATTACTGCCTTTGCCAATACACTCTCAGACGGGACTGCACCCTGCCTTCGAAGTTGGGGATCTTGTCTACCCATTTCTGATGTCTTCTGCATTTTCTCAAACCTCAGAATCCTTGGGA